TACATTGTATTGTGTGAGTTCTATTGTGTTTTCTTCTAGTCCTCAGGGCTTTTTATCTGTTATTTATCAAAGCACGTAAATTATACTTCCACAATTTTCAATATAATTTAACATAAATAATTAATTGGGTCTACATCAATCAAATAACTGTCATTTTATGCTCACATTAAATGGTAACCACGAATGTAATAATTTGCTTTATGACAGAACAATCTGTAACTTTCACTAATACATATTTAACAATATCATTACCATGTCTACAGAATGTGAAGTATTTTAAGTAGCAATGTGATTTTCAGTATTAGCACAACTTGTTGTAAGACAAAAGCAGGTATACTGTAGAAGATTGAAAATACCCTTTTCACTTAAATTTAGATACATTGCATTATTTATTTGAAATATATTGGGTTCTCCCAATTTATTGAAGACATTAGTGGGTGTGCTTATTAAAAAGTAAACTTTTACCTAAAAAAATATAAATAAAATATAACTTCGCTAGGTTAAAAGGCAATTAATTCAGCTTTTCAACTGGTTTGCACTTCTTAGTTTGAATTAAAGAGTTACTCTAAACTTTTGTATAAAATATTTATATTTTTAGTTTACAATGCCCTACTGGACATTATTAACTAGGGCCTTCCCTTTTAATCCTGCACAAAAAGTGTAGACTTTCCTGTTATACAGCACCAGGCAAACATTGGTTTCAGTGCCACCGCTGCCCACTTGGTTTCCAATCATATGCTTCTCATAAAGAAGCATTTAATTGGACCATTCTACCTGCTTGGAGGAGAGGGAGTGGATTTAAAAAAAATATTATAAATGCAGGGATGTTGAGAAGGAGTGCATGAGAGAGGGAAGGAAGAAGATAGGGAAGATCAAGGCTCCCCTTGTTGGGAGCTCTGCAAGGGAGAATATCTTTGTTTGTTCCCACCAACATTAGGCAGCCTTGAACATTGTGTGCATGGTTGCAGAAGAAATTATAGGAATTCATCCTGATACCGTCTGAGAAAATGAGCTCATCTATATAGACATATTGGAAAGTTGAGGCAGACTGTTTGCAGGATCTCTGTGCAGTTCTTTGGCCAGACAGCTTTGAATCTCTGGCTGGAGCCAGTCACAGAGTGGACAGTAAGTGTTGCTAAGGATGTTGGAGCAGATATAGTTTGCTAGAGTCGTGGGAGATCTAGAGAAGCTACGTTCTGAAGCAGCCACAATCCAACCGCAAATGCGGCAGCAGTAAGACAAGACATGAATTACAACATCATGTCTGTCTTTTAGATGTAAATGCTTGATTTAACGTAAAGTCCACCAGAAAGCTGGCGACACATGATTGCAGAATGCCCCTCTTTACTAAGCTTAGTGCTAGTGCATGCTTCTTTGGTGTTTGCTCTGATATACTAGTCGGACTACAGCAATCGAAGTTGATTGCGATTGACCAAAAAGCCATTCCAATCCCAGAAGGTGTGGACTAAAAAAAGAAGAAAGGGAAAGAAAAAGGCTTTTGGACCCATATTAACTTGTAACCAGAAGAACATGCTTTTTGATCCTTTGTTTTTGGAATGGTAGGTTTTGATCTTACAAAGGGGCTGTTATATCTTCAATCCCTAAGCTTCAACACCAAGAATAAAATACAGGAAATTAAGAATAGGAAGCTGAGCTACTTCCTAAACTTGGTTGCCAACTTGAGTAGTGAATTGACCTGTAAATATGTTTTTGAATATTACTAAACACTCTTTCATAAAAAAAAATAAAAAATGCATATTTCAACTGTAGTTGGCTCCTTTACATGATATGTCATTGTTTCCTTATTTTTAGGACTTGGTAGTTAGCGTACATAATGTTATCATTGCACGGCTGGCAACGAAAAGGATTTGTACCACCAAAAATCTTCTAGTGAATCTGAAAGTCACAAAATCTAACGTAGAACTAGTGACTGATTCATATACTGAAATCACTTATTCACCTAAAGAGCAACTGGTTAAACAACTTTCCATTTTGGACCAAGCAATGAAAGGACATGTGGATACCTATTTGGGAGGAATACCAGGTATATTTCTCCCACAACTATCTATCTATCTATCTATCTATCTGTCTGTCTAATCTGAATAAAAGTATAAACTAAGACTGTGCTTCCTTTGGGCTTCCCTTCAATATGCAAACTATGGTGCTGTCTTGGTTCATCTGCATTTAAGACTCAGATACATTTTTGAGGACTTTACACCCATATGGTGCATTTTGAAGGGAAGCCTAAAGGAAGCGCAGTCTTTTTTATCATTCAATTGAATTAAGTTGCATGTATAGGTTAGAGCTTCCTTTTTTCCTAAGGTAAGACCGCTGCCCCTAGTTGTGAATAAATATACATAAATGATAGGAGATCCTGACTGCCTTTATTGTAGTTGGGCCTATCTGGCAATTGATTATCTTATGTAAACTAACACAAAATATATCCAACACTTTGTTTATCAATAATGTGATGGGAAAAAACACTTATCTTATTAGATAGTGGTAGCCCTCTCCAGGAAAATCCCAGACAATATTCCTTTTGTATGGTACGGAAAAACAGCAAGTGTGTGTGAGAATATGGCTGTAGATCTACAGGTATAATTAGGAAACACAAAAAAACAAATATAGCGTAACACTGTTACATGAGATAATAAACTGTGCAGAAATAGATTGCACAAGATGTTGTTGAGTAAATCGCAGAAGGGTGCCTCCCCAGATAACACTGGGGGGGGCTAAACCAGGACGCCTCTTCCTGTAGCAATTCGCTGCAAGTATGGAGAGCCGGACTCAGGATACAGGTGAAAAAACTGCTATTTATTTAATCGAGTGTAAATATCAAAATGGTAAAAAGCCATAGGATAAAAAAGGTTGCTTAGGAGTAATCCTACATGTTTCACCCAAACAGGGCTTCCTTAACAGAGCTATTGTGTTCGTGTTTTTCCCCCTCTCTCTAACCATCTGCACTCCACACACATATATATATAATATCTGTCTTATCTAACTGTCTGTCTCATTACCTCACTCTTTATGCCTTCCTCCCTTTGTTTGTTTTTAAAAGACACATTAATTGTTGATATGCAATATGACAGTATTGTTACATTTATAGTACTGAATACACATTATACAAGAAAAAAGTGCTCCTAACAACAATTTCATTTATTTCGCTTTAGGCATTCCGCTTACTGCTACTCCGGTGTCCGCGTTTTATATTGGCTGCATGAATGTCACCATAAATGATAAATTGTTGGATTTGGATGAAGCGGTGTTCAAGCAAAATGATATCCGATCACATTCATGTCCTTTAGTTCAATAATCTTATTTGGTTTTATTTTTGGATACCACTACTGAGTAACCAAAGTTTTTTTGTCCAAGACAAAGTGTGCCAGAAAAGCATTGCTAATATGATGGAATTCTTGAAGTGCCTAGATTAAGTTCATTATATTTTTGGCTCTGGCACTATAAGCACATTTTTTCTTTTTTTTTTCTTTTTTTCCTTTTCTTGGTATTCCACAAATTTACACAAAGCACCACCGTGTATTGCCTTTGATCCTATTATGTGATTTATGTCAGTGTTATAATTATGATATATGTTTGTATTTCATAGATAAAATCTAGTTTCATTAAGATTTAAACCGAAGGGGATTTTTTTTTTCTAAGAACTTTTATGAAATATTTGGGGAGTTTAGAACAAAAAATTCAAACGATTTTACATACTGTTTTGTCATATATTGAAACCGCTAGAGACAAATATATTGTACAGTAAAAAACAAACAAACAAACAAACAGATTCTATAAATAAAAATATACAAACAAAAATGTTTAGTGTGTTATAAACCTGCGATATAATAGATTACTCTATAATGCATCAAAAATGCAATAACTTATATGTTGAATATATAGTATACATGTATAAGGATACACTAGACGTACCCGCAGTCTCAGTGCTAAGACCAGACTGTGATGACAGACAGTGTAGAAACACTTTCTATGCACAGAGTGGATGTGACATCAACAATGGAACTTAGCCCAAACTAATTCAAATATATATTTTTTTGTAACATTGGTAGTTTTTATAGCTGCAGAGATTTTCTAAACAGTGGTACATATTATTGCCATAAGCACAGAGTCAAAAGGCAAGTTGATCATTGTATACTCATGTATGTACGTAGTGGGGAATTTTCTGTTTCTACCTAATACATAAATTAACCCCATTAAACCCTCCCAATAACGACAGACAACTTAGTATGGATGAAACAGGCCACAGCATATATTATAACATAAATAAATAAATACTGCATAACACATCCATAACTTTATTTATTCAAAATCTTCTTTCTGTAACCAAAATTGTTAAACATAAATAAGCTTAAATTAACATATATACAGCCCCCATGCACAGACTCACAGGCCAGGTGGCGTCTTTCCTGGTCACCTTGGTCTGTGTTTATTTGCAAGTGTGAGCGTATATCTCTGCATACTGGACTCCACATCAGGTAAGACTATGACAAATGCAAAGCTATATGGCTACTCAACCACTTTCAAGAGTATAGACCTTCATGCCCCGGTAGACACAGATCTCGCCTTACAGAATATATAATATTGGTCAATCTGGTTATCAAGGTAACCACCCTAGGCAATACATAGGTGTTTCGATACCCAAAATTGATCTCCTTACTTAGAGGGAGGATCAATGACACTAGTGCTACTACTGTTACTGATTTAACATTGTTATTATTGTTTGATCACATATCCCTTCTTCTCGCCATCTTCCTTCCACCCTGGATCAACCTGACATCCAGGGGAGACCTCTCCTAAGGTAGTTAATGCCATGTTAATGCATCTTAATTATCCACAGGCAGAAAAAACACAATTATCCACAGGCAGAAAAAACACACTTTTTTTTATAAAGTCCCATAAATACCCCAAAACATAACATATCCCCATAAATATTACATCCCCTGATAGCCCTGATCTGGGTGAACACCCAGATCAGAAGTTCAGGAAATTCCTGGAAGTTTATTTTGACCACACGCATGATTTCATGCCCAAAACAGTTCTAGAGAATCAGGGCTTGAGGCCGGTCTAGTTCGGTAGTTTGCAAACGAACAAACTTCTGAACGGAGTCAATAGTCTTACCCTGGAGCTTGTTCCCTTTATCCAGACGAATGATCTCACCAAACAGTGCCCTTCTAAGCTGAAAAGAAACGAACACAGGCGATGATGGAAGTCCAGCGATGTTCGGGAGTTTCTGTATCTGACTTTAGTTCTAGGAGATTCATGCTCAAACACCGCTGCCTGCATTCATGCGAACAAGATGGCCGCCACCTCAAGGTTGTTCATAAGAATTGCGGCCACCCAGACGAACAATTAGAACACTGCGGTGAGAAACGTTCCAAGTTGTTAATGAGTGTTAACAAGCTCCATGGTGGTCTCTGTTCGTGCGGGTGTTCGGTAAATGAACCATATAGTCCCAACTGCACAAACGGAGCCTGTTTAAAGTATATTAACCAATTCTATTGCAGGGGCCATGGTCACAGGGTAAAAATCTGGCCATTAGTCCTCTCCAAAAACCAGTGGCGAAGTTGCTTTCGTCACAATATATATAAAAATAAATATACACACACACTTTACTAGCATTGTATAGCTAGATTCTAGAACATTTCTGTTTTACCTCAAATACTGAATAATTCCTGTGGTTAATATAATTTGTAAAGGAATTTACAAAAATGCCATACATTGTGATAAGTATATTTTTTTAGTGGTTTAGCCATGTCAGTAAAATGACAAAATATGTTGACTGTATTTATTTGATTAATATTTTTCAGCCAAATAATTTCAACATTGGCGCGTTATTATAAGATACCAGACGTTAAATGTTTGTACAAAATTAAAAAACCATAACAAAAAGAAAATTACTTCATATTAATATGATTGCCCTGATCTACAGAGTACATCACAGGAATTCAGATAATTTATTTTGTAGTTTCTGTTAAACATTACAAAAAGTACAATAAAGTTTTGAAACTTAAAGGGGCTCGCCAGACTGACGTGCTAGTGCTATGAATACACCTTTGATCCAACTGCTGTAGAAGGCCACTCTCACATTAGTAAGACAAACTGAGATGCTCACACCAATGTCTCTCATTTATCTAATCAGCATTATTTTACCTAATAAAAGATAGGTTTTACAAAACTAAAAAGGTGGAAAGATGGCTTATAATGAAGCCACTTTTCATGTATTTTTGTACCAAACATATATACTAGACCAGGGTTTCCCAAAGTGTGGGTCGCGACACACTGATGGGTCACCGGGTAATTCCCAGTGGGTCGCGCTGACCCACACATCTGGGGACCTAGGTGACAGTCACGCTGTAAAATGTAGCTTGGAATCATTAATGTTGAATAAGTCTTTTATGTATATATATATATATATATATATATATATATATATATATTTCTTCTTTTGGGTCAGGCTCGCCACAATAATATATGTCTATATTATTGAAAAGCACTAATACACAATCTGACGTTCTTTATAAAAAATAAGTATTTATTCTACATTCAACAGCAAACAATAATATACTTAACAGATGGTATTTCTTAACGACGTTACAGAGAGTCGTCTTTGTATCAGCAACTCAGGACATCAAAGAGGAGAGCAAAACGGATCGTAGCAGGAAGAGAGTGTAGTCCTTTGTCCTTGGCTCTATATAGCCCAAATTACGTCATAACGTTTAGTTTAGACTCTGCCATATAAGGAAGTTCCCTATATAAAGACCGCCTCAGATCTCTTATACAGCAAATTCCAGAGACCTCATGGTACAGAATAGCAAACACCATCTGTTCTGTTTAACCCATTAGACAACCACACCTTAATATGTATTTGAATAGGAACATATAGAATATGCAATATTCTACATTTCCCTCTGTTTATGGTTTATTTATGGTTATTTACCTGTCCATTCATACATCATTCATATCACATTTCATTTCACAGTCATTGGGTATAAGAAGAGATGTGTTCATAGCTACCCGGTATCTGAGATTCCTTGGAAGTATTGTGTATTACCCTGTTTACAGTTTCTTTTAGTGTATTCTCCTTCTGTTTAACCTTTTCATTTACGAGTATATACAGTTTTCTAATTCTACATTGCATAATTACTTGTAAAACAATACAAATTATAGATACACCTTTAATAATAATAAATGGATGAAATTAAATATTTACAATTGCTGATCCTACAGATGATTTAGCAAGTGTGTTTGTACTTTTAATTATGTAATTCCACCAAGAGGAACTAGAAACAATTGACCATTCATTTTCTATCTCCTTTAATTTACCCTGTTCATGTTCAAATTGAATTTCTGTTTCTTTCAACTTGTCTCCTGCTCTCTCCTATGGGACAGTGCTTTGCTCTCTCCTCCAGCTCTGCTTCACTCCCACCCTATTTCATATTTCCTGTCCTAATGTTTCTAATACCCCACCTCCTATAGTCTGTAAGCTCATTTGAGCAGGGTCCTCTTCAACCTATTGTTCCTGTAAGTTTTCTTGTAATTGTCCTATTTATTGTTACATCCCCCCTCTCAAAATATTGTAAAGCGCTACGGAATCTGTTGGCGCTATATAAATGATGATGATAATAATAATAATAATAATAATAATAACTGTTTTTGTAACGAATATAATAATATCTTGTCTTTCCTAATCTCATCTGCCCACTTTCTCCATGGAAACTCATTTGTTTGTGAAACATTTAATTGAATAGGCATGATATCCATCTCTTGTATAGGACTCTTCGATATGTTAACTTGAGTTCCTTGTATATGTATTATTAGTGGACCCCCATTGATACAATATAAACCTTTCTGTAATGTTTCTCAATGTGTACATTCTGAAAATGTAGCTCTTACTAACTCATTATTTGACATAACCTGTACACATACTTTGTCTTTTTCTATGGGAGTTACAATTTCATGAGGATTTTTAACTGTTTTAATTTTACCGGAACATGAACTTTGGTTATGAAAACATGAATGATAAATGGTTTCAACTTGGTTATTTAAACATATTATTTTAGATGCAAATTGTAGACAACTAGAAAGATCTACCTGCTCAAGTTCAGTAATGTTATTATAAGATACAAAATCAGGATATTGTAATTTATACAATAATAATTGTCTGTTACTAATAGGAATTCCTAATACCGACATTGAAAATAGTGTTTTTTCAATACCAGAAATTGGTATTAAAGAAGAACTTATACATATATCATTGTTACATCCCAACCATTTGTTAACCCATAAATCTGTATGATTTTTAGCGAACGCAAACTCCTCAGGTAAACTACGTTTGAGTTCTATAGGAGTAGTACCACCTTGTAATGCTTGTGCCATCACCTTAAAATCTGTAGAATATTCAACTTGTATCTCTAAACAAGCTTTGGCTACCTGGGATGAATCTGCATTTCTCATTAATGCCAAAGTAGCTTCCTGTAAATGTTGAACAGAGGGTGCAATAACAGAGGCTGTGTTCATAACCATATTTTTCAATATTTGATTTAAACCTCTTTGAATATGCAATCCTTTTCCCCCTATTAACCCTACAGTTCCCAAATCATTCTTTAATGTTTGAATATCCATAGAATTGGTGATACTTACTATAGTACCAAATCCAGCCATAATTCCTTCTTCTATATATCTTTTATTTCTGTTTGATACTTTACTTCCTCCAAACCAATGTTCTAAGTCTCGTTCCATATTTAATAAATGTTCCTTACATTGTGGAAATTTACTTGAGATTTTCCACTGTGAAACATTAAAATGCCAAACTATTGTTGCAAATTTCCCATCTAATAACAAAGACTTTGATTGAAAATGATTAAATTGAAAAAGACTTGCTAACTTAAAAACCTTATTTTTGCATTCTACCATTCTGGGAGAGAATACATTTACCTTAACATCACCACATCTCTCATGATGATTTCTTAACATTATACAACATTGATAGTTTCCACTATCACTGTAGGTAGGATTGTCTAAATAGAAAACAAACATTTCTTCCAACCAATCCACCTTTCCTAGTACACCTCTGTGAATAACCTTTGGCGTTGTATGTGACATACTACCCAAAAATATTCCTTCCCTTTTCCATGTCATTACAGACTCAGGGGGTAAACTTATATGTGTACTACATGTTAATCTAAGTCTTTCCTTTCCTTCCTGGATATCTACAAGACTAGGCTTCATTATAATATCTCGCATAACATAATCAGTTACCAGAAATATCATGTTAACTTTTACTGTCAACGATTCCCTAGATGCTTGTATTTCCCATATCCAAGGTATACCCGGAGTATTGTTTTTTTAAGAGGAATTCTGACTCTAAATGTATAAGCCAATATTGAATTGTATAAAGTACTTCACCACCTCGTCCTCGCGTTGTTACTGAAGTTTGTGCAATGTTCACATACATGTCACCTGACCAATTTACCATTTCCTCTCCATTAACTACAATCATGATATATGCATTTTGTAATATGTTAAGTTCCTATGATCCCGTTTTTACATTGTCTTGTACAAATGAACCTTTGGTCCAACTAAATAAATCATTAGGACCTATTGTAATGTTTAAATTAATAACACTATCTCCTGTGAAATTAATTCGCACATTGAATACTTGTAGATAGCCATCTTTTGTCCGAAAACAAACATGACCTTCTAATACTTGTTCATTGTCTCTCTTTTTTCTAATATTTCCCAATAAGTCATTCTTTAATTCCTGATTGAAAGTCGTTTTGTTCATCTTAAAAATAACTATTACAAGAACTGTAGTCATCAATGTTAGCAGGATGCTGACGAACACCTTCTTTCTGCTACACGGTTGTCTTTTCGAACACATCGTCTGTCACCGGCCAACTTTCGTCTGTAGGTCTGCTTACAAATTATCTAAAATAAACTAAGAAAAACAAAGCAGTATCAATATATTACCAAATTATGTTGAAGGTTTATACAATTTGCACTGATCTGCATGAACCCAAAAACAATTTTGCCTCCGTTTATTCCGTGAACCATCAAGAGGTCTTTGCACTTGTACCATTGTTTGTCCCATTGTATCTGTTATGTTATAAGGACCTTCCCAGTTTGCCTCCCAAGGTCCAGTTTTCCTAAAAGTCACAGCCCCCACTCCCTGCCCCCCATGCCCCACACTGTAACTCATTCTCTCCCTGCCCCCCTTTAACTCTTTCTTTCCCTGCCCATACTGTAACCCTTTCTTTCCCTGCCCCCCACTGTAAGCCTTTCTTTCCCTGCCCCCCCATTGTAACCATTTCTCTCCCTGCCACCCCTACTGTAATCCTTTCTTACTCTGCTCCCCAGTGTAACCCTTTCTCTCTCTGCCCCCCACACTGTAACCTTTATCTCCCTGCCCTCCTTACCCTGCCCCATAACCACTTCTCACCCTGTTCCCCCACTGTAACCCTTTATCCCCCTGCCCCCACTGTAGCCTTTTCTGCCCCCCACTGTAACCTTTTCTCCCACGCTGTAACCCTTTCTCACACTGTCACCAGCACACACACACTCCCTAACACTACACACAACAAGCACACCTGCACAACATGCTTACATTAAAATGCTCAAACACTGCTCACAAATATGGGCAAATGGTAGATCCCCAGATGGCATAGCATTGTTGAAGTTTTCCGACTGATGGGGATCTACCTTTTGGCCACACTTGAACTAGATGGGGCCCAGAAAACATACTTGCACCAGGGTCCTCTCTACATTAATTCCACCACTGGGATAATCAACGTGAGTTGCCTGGTTTAAAAAGTGGGACACAGCATTTCTGATTCTGACTTAGTCTGTGAGTAAGCAGTTGTATGTCTCTAAAACTGATTGCCATGATGCGCTAAGTTTCTGCCTCTAAAACTACCATGATACCCACAATTATGCCTCTAAAACTGCCAGGATATGCCAGAATTTTGCCTCTAAAACTGCCATGATATGCCAATTGTATGTATCTAAAACTGATTGCCATGGTGTGCCAATTGTATGCCTCTAAAGCAGATCGCCATGAATGCCAAGTTTATGCATCTAAAGCTGATTGCCATGGTGTACCAAGTTAATGCATTTAAAGCTGCCAGGATGTTCCACTTGTAAGCCTTTAAAACTTTTTGCCATGGTGTGCCAATTTTATACATCTAAAGCTGGTTGCCATGGTATGCCAATTTTATGCATCTAAAGCTGGTTGCCATGGTGTGCCAATTGTATGCCTCTAAAACCAATTGCCATGGTGTGCCAATTTGATGCATCTAAAGTTGACATGATATGCCAAGTTTCTGCATCTAAAAGTGATTGCCATGGTGTGCCAGGTTTCTGCATCTAAAGCTGATTGCTATGATGTTCCAATTTATGCCTCTATTGCTGATTGCCTTGGCATGTCAATTGTATGCCTCTAAAACTGATTGCCATGGTGTGCCAATTTTATGCTTCTAAAGTTGCCATGATGTGCCATGTTTATGCATCTAAACCTGATTGCCATGGTGTGCCAATTTTATGTATGTAAAACTGCCATGATGTGCAAATTGTATGCCTGTAAAGCTGATTGCCATGGTGTGCCAAGTTTATACCTGTAAAGAAAAATTAGCATTTTCAAAAGTGGGTCTCAGCCCATGGAGGTTTGGGAAGCCCTGTACTAGACCATATTGTGTTATTAGTAGCTTATACAAAACTGAAATAAATGTCTTTGCCACTAGGTGGAAATAGTGTACTACAGAAATACTAGGCAAAAATAGGTGATTTTTTTTTTTTTTTATTCTTGTTCGTTCTCCTTTTTGGCCCAGATAGCCAAATGTCTTTTTAATGATTAATCATTGTTTAAAGTAGTTTAATAAGAAAATATATTTTATAATAAAACCTGATAACATTTGAATTATAGC